TTTATTGCCTGCTGCTAGCTCCAGAGTGAAAGGGTGAAGACATCTTGTAAAATCCACAGCCTCCACCTCCACTCATTCCTTACATTCCACGTTCTCATCCCACCTTTGGAAATGCAGGTCTGCTCCTGCCTCATTTCTGTTTGCATTCTCTAATCAGACATATCATCTGATCATACATTACAACCATATGCACATGTGCTCTGCCTGCTGCAATGACCTCTAAGGATGAAAGTCCAGATTGCTGTCCCTCTGAACAACCTTCACAGGTCGATTCAAAAAATTCTAATGAAATCTTAGACAACGGGCAAGGTGGAACCTCCCTCTAGTCCCAACACTTGAGAGGGTGAGGCAGGAGCCTCAGAAGTTTAAGGCCCTAAAGAAGTGAGACTCTGTCTCCAAACTTCCAAACAAAAATGTCTAATGCCTGCATGGCATAAACCAGATACTATCTCAGCCCCTGAAGAGGTGAGTGGGTTATTCCCATCTGCTTGTTTAAATCCTCACTGGAGAGGACACGTCATGTGAAATACAACCACATAAGGAAAAAAGCATAATAACACAAATAAAATTACATACATAGTGTACCATGATTGTGAGGGACTAGGAGTTAGATCCAAAATAGAAAGAAGAATCACAAATAGATAACAATCATGACAAAAGCATAGTTTCTTCCTCACACCCCTGACTGGAGACAAAAGGCCTAAAGGCCTAGTTTTTTAGGGCTCCCGGTAGTGCAACAATATGACAAGTTCAAGGCCAGGACCAGGACTTGTTCACCCCAAAGCCATGGACTTATCAGCTTCCCTGACTTTGCTCAGAGTGATCAACCCCCAAATTGGGAGAGCAATATCCCTCAAAGACATCAAACTTCTTCCCTCAAAGAGAGAACAGATTTGGGGATCTCAAGTTCCCTCCCCCACTCCTCATCCTACCTCCCACCCCCACTCTGTTTTACAGAGTGTACTTTCCTCTGTGTGCTTTCCTGTGGTGTGTGTTTTCTCACCTCTAATAAGTCTTTCCTTACTGATGGATCCTGTCTGCTCTGTGGGAGATTTTCTCCAGTGCTACCTGGTGTGCTCAAGACTTTTCTGATTTTTAATTTTTTGTCCGGTACAGAAAACAAATCTGGTATCAACTAACGTAGTGCCACATAGGAGAAAGGAATTCCTCCTAAACTCTTGGCCAGATCTAAAAACCTTCTCAGAATGTAATGCCTAAACAGATAAAAACAGATACGTCAACATAATTGGTTATCGAAAGATAACTTAAAAGACATACAGAGACACAGCACAGAAAAGCTGTTCATCCATCTTAAAACACTTGAAGTTTAAGGACTATGCGTAGCTGAGCAGAGCCTAGCTCCCCGGAGTCACTGGGTTCCAATACCAGCATTTCAAAATAATAATAATAATAATAATAATAATAAATGATAATGTGTTTATGGTTCACTTCAAAGGGGTCAAACTGCTTAGAAGAGTGATATAATAAGCTGTATATTAGACCTGCCTTTTATAGAAATTAGTAAAGGTATCTGTGGAACACATAGACAGGTAACTGAAAGTAGCAAGATAAATACCTTGCAAGAATTCAGAAAATAGGGCAATCTTAGGCCACAGGATCTTTAAGACAAGATTAACTAGGCTTTTCTAAGATGTTTGTTTGGATTGGAGAACTCAAGGGAAAATAGACCTTTCTAGTTGGAAGCAGAAGGCTCCAGGGAAATCACTGAGCAAAGCATACAGAAACTCACAGAAGGGTGAAGAGTTCAGTTCAGTGGGTGCTAAGTCTGATGAGGAAGGTTGGCACAAAGGAAGCACAGCCAGTAATGCCATACTCAAGACTTGGACTTCATTAGTCAAACGGACTTTATGAAGGGTTAGTCAAAGAAAGCATATCGCATTGCTTTAGAAAGATTGATTATAAATTTAGTCTAAAAATAGACTGTGGGCATCCTGACAACAATAAGAATGTGAGAGAAACATATCTGATGCAGGAGATGGCAGAAAGCGCCACAGGGAAGAGCTGAAAGAATGAAGCCCAAGTGGAGGGACCGTGTGAAACAAAAGCCAAGTCACCTACCACCTATTCCAGAACCTCAGGGATGTTTGAGTGGAGGCTTTTCTAGAGCTCACCATGATGCTCTAGAAAAGGAGGTTTTCTCTTTGTTTAACCAGTCTCCATATGAGAGAGTGTGGCAATGAGGTTCCCTAGAAGAGGAAATGAAGGAAAAAGTAAAGAAGAGAAACAGTGAGAGAGCAGCAGAGAGAGAGTCAGAACAAACAGAAAACAGTCCCCCACGATCCATCCTTCCTAAAGATTCTGACCTCTGGGCTTCCTTGTGTTCTGTTTTTTCTGGAAGAGATCAGTCTATATGTCAGTCAAGGAGCACCCCAGAGCCAATGGGCTACCAAGGCCCTCTTTCTCACATTGTTTGGGTTGTTCTCCTTTGTCCCCCAATCATTAAAATGCAAAATTGGAAACTGAGTTGTCTCCACTGAGAATGTGAGTCACCTCTGTTTCTCAAAGCAGCAAGGCAATGGTACCCATAACATCAAAAAAGATTTCCAAACTTGCCATGTTCAGTAGTCTATTTCCTGAAAGAAGTTTGTCTAACCTCGATCAAATCTCTCATCCAAGTGTCCAATTTTATTGACAAATCTTGTAGGATATTAAAAAATTTCTGGTCCATGGAAAACTTTTTACTTTCTCAGACTTTTTCAAAGTCAGATAATTAAATTTCTCACAATAGGCTTTACATGGTTCTGTTCTGTGCCCCACAGAGAACTAAAGTTGCATTCTTTCAAGTATGAAGATGATAAAGGTCCTACATTTCATTTTAGATTTGATGGTTTAGTGCTGGAGCACATGAGTGCCTTGGCAAGTCTATGTATCAATTACCAGCAAATTAATGGATTCTTCTAGATTAGCATTTGCCATCATTTCGCCAATGATTGCTGTTTTCATTAAGACTCACAGAACTGCAAAGAGATGTTTGTTAAGCCTGATTAGTGCGGAGTTTTTCTTGGCTTCTCTGTTTCCAAGCTAATTATGGGCTTCCTCCTGTCTCTTTTTGATACTCATAATGAGAGTACACACGCAAATTTGAGAATGAGGATAAAGGTATCAACATATAATTTACCCATTGAGACATCTATCCTACATGCTTACACACTAAGTATTGTGTTACTAGTAAATGTAACCGATCCCCCTAAATAGATTAGGTATACCCCTTACTTCCTTTCAAGGGAGCTTGGGGTCTTTGGCCTCTTTAAAACTCACCTCCAGACTCTGCGAGATAAGACTATCATTGAAGTCAACACAGTATGTGGGTTGCAGATACAGCCTCAAGTCAGTCCCTAAGCTTCATTCCAAGTAGATGACCACACCTACCTAGAAACTAGTCAGCTCAGCTTTTTTGGAAAAAGAAGGAGAAGAAGAAGAAGAAGAAGAAGAAGAAGAAGAAGAAGAAGAAGAAGAAGAAGAAGAAGAAGA